ACACACACACACACACACACACACACACACACACACACACCCTTTACTATGGTTTCTTTTTGTTTGTCTTTTACAGTAGTGGTCCTATGCAGTATTTCTCCTTTTGTGACTAATTTCATTCAACATAATCTCCTCAAGGTTCATCCATGTTATGCATTGGCTTGCAGCTTCCTTGTTATTCTTCAAGGTAGCATAATATTCCATTGTGTGTATGTACCACAGTTTGTTTATCCATTCTTCAGTTGATGAGCACTTAGGCTGTCTCCAAATTTTTGGTATTGTAAATAGTGCAGCTATGAACATTGGTGTGCATCTGTCTTCACGTGTTGTGGCTTGTTTTTCTTGTGGGTAAATACCAAGTAGAGGAGTTGCTGGATCATAAGGTATTTCTATTTTCAACCTTCTGAGGAAGCGCCATATTGCTTTCCAGAGAGGTTGGACCATTTTGCAATCTCATGGCTGGTGAGTTTTAACCACTGACCTTGCGTTCAAAGCAACCTTGCTTATTCATACAGCACCACACCAGGACTCCTTACTGTTACTTATTTAGCATTTATCCTTTTCTTTAGCGCTAGTCTCTTCCTTGTAACCTGAGGAGAACTTTCCCCTTTTCATATATGGAACTTTTTCCTCCTTGTTTTTGTATCTGAAACATACTATTTATGTCCAGCAGTTTACTTTATAATTACTTAAGGACTAAGTAGAATGAGATTTTCTCTTGCTACTTATGATGTGTTTCTTAAGAAACGGCAGAACCTCATAAAATAATATTTGGGAATTTGGTAATGTGCGTACTCTAGCATTTCTAACACACTGGAAACCATGACAGCACTTGAAGGATGATATCCTATCTCCCTATTAACCCCCCCCCACACACACACACATACACACTCCCCTGGGGTGAGTTGTAGAACAAGATTGAGCACACTACAGTCCAAAGGCCAAATCTAACCAATCATTGGTATTCAGTTTGCACACGAGCTAAGAATTTTTAAATAAATCTTTCTAAATGCTTAAAAACATTCAAAAGAAGAATAACATTGTAATATTTGAAAACGATATGAAGTTAAAATTTCAATGTCCATAAAGAAAATGATGGCGCGCTGGTAGTGTAGTGGTTAAGAAACGGGCTGCGAACTGCAAGGTCAGCAGTTTGAAACTAATAGCTGTTACACGGGAGAAAGATGAGGCGTTCTGCTCCCGTAAAGATTTACAGCCTCAGAGACCCTGTACAGGGTTGCTATGAGTCGGAACCGACTCCTCGGCACACAGCCATATGAAAAATGTATTGAAATAGCCTCATTGATTAATTTATATATTGTCTGACTTCTTTTCATGCTACAATAATACAGCTGAATAGTTGCAACAGAGATCAAATAGACTGCAGTCTAAATTATTTACTGTCTTAGCCTTTACAGAAAAGGTTTCTGACCCCTGATTTTATTTAGAAACAGCACAAATAGGTGGCTTTAATTAAAAAAAAACAAAAAAAGAATTTTGTTTTCTCACAGTTGAGGAGAATAGAGGTCCAAATTCATGGTGCCAGTGGCTCTAGGGGAGGGCTCTCTCTCTCCGTCAGCTTTGGAGGAAGGTTCTTGTCTCTTCTAAGCTTCTGCTCTTGGACAGTCTTCATGTGGCTTGGCACCTCTCTTCTCCCATCTTTGCTTGCTAAGTGTCATTTAGTCTATTTTATATCTCAGGAAATTAACTCAAAATGCACCATACACTAATTATGTCTAATGAACATAAGAAAGACAATCCATTCCCTAATGAGATTATAACCACACGTGTACAGACGAGTTTTTTTTTTTTTACAGACGAGTTTTTACAACACATATTAGGGGAGAGGACCCAATTCATTCCATAACACTGCTGTTCTAGAATGGTTATACACCTGGGTAAAGCTCTTTTGTTCTGTTCTTGTCCAATACCTTCTAATTTGATTGTTTGCCCAGTTATACTTGAGGGAGCTTTAGTCTAGTTGGAAGCCATTGTTCTTCCGTTCAACTTAGCATCTACTTGTCTCTTGCTTTCAAATTTATATTAGCGAGATAGATTCTCTTGGTGTGCACACTCTTTTCTTGCAGTAATTCGTGGCATTAGGGACCATTATTCTATTCGCTTATGCTGTTGTATCCATTCTCCATTCTGGTGTTAAAAATATTACACAGTATTTTTTTTAGGTGAACTTTAAAGCTGTATCAGAAAATCAGATGATGACTGTGAAGTGAAAGAATTTACTCGACAGATTATTCCCTTATGTAGAAATCCTTTTTCTGTTCTATTGTCCAGAAAACCATTACCAAAGCGAGAGGACACATTAGGCAAAATTCAGATCCTGTGAAAGATTTACTTGTAGTACTTGTAGTACATGCAAGAGATGTCAAACTAGGAAGCACAGTATGGCCTTGGTCTTTATATACATCCATGTACCTAGTACACTCCCATTAGAAGTGATTTTCCTTAATGCAAATTTAAGGAAAGGTAAACGAGGAATGTTGGAGCCAACTATGCAAACTGTGAAGTCTCTTGCCAACTTTGGTAATACCCATGTCTAGGTTGAAAACTAAGTTGTAAAATTTGATGTGTCTATATTCAGCAATATTTGTAGTCTTTAATATGAGTATAGTGAATTGTGACTTTGAAAGTCTACTTTTCTATATATGTCCTTGATGTTGTCGTTTAGTGCCATAGAGTGGATTCTGACCCATAGTGACCCTGTATAGGGTTTCCAAGGAGCAGCTGGTGAGCTTCAACCACCGACCTTGCAGTTCAAACGGCTTTGTAGTCTGGTGCATTAACCCACAGCACCACACCAGGACTCCATATATGTCCTTAGTCATGGGCAATTTTCCTGGTGTTACTTTTGGAATTTATTCAGATGTTTTACACTGTCTTGAAGGTTTTTAAGATTGGTTTGTGGATATAGATTTTACGAAGTGTATCGGGTTAATAATATGTTGTGTGTATGATATCTCTTATAACCAGCATATACTCCAGTAACTTTCAAACCAGCGTCCCTTTCACTCTTCTCTTCCCTTAGTAAAACTTTCTGTCCTCCTCTTTTCAGCAAACAAAGGTAGTGATTATGCTGTGGTATACCTGCACATTTCCCCACCATTTAAAATGTGTGCTTTCTAGTAGTCAGGTGTTTATTCTTAAATTTGTGTTTGTAATAAAATAATTTGCAAGAAAGTGATATATAAAGAAAACGTGCATGTGGATAAGAGGTTTTTGTTTTGTTTTTAAATTAAAGCTGTTGAATGTGTTGTTGTTGTTGTGAAGTTCAGTCAAGTTGGTTCTGACTCATAGCAACGCTATATAGGATTTCTGAGGAGCAGCTCGGGAGCTTGAACCACCAGCCTTGCAGTTGAAATAGCTTTGTAACCTGACGCATTAACCCACAGCACCACACTGGGATGCTGTTGAATGTGAAGTAACTATTTAATAAGGACAAGTTGCTAAATAAATTATTGTCAAGTGGCCTGAGCAAAACAACTATGAAAGATGTGGGAGCACTTACAGAAGTCTAGACGTCTACACTCCTATCTGAGGACACATGCTCAAAATCGTAGTCCCCATATCAAGAGACTTACAAACGAATAAATGTTTTAACATGTTTGTTGTTATTAAGTGTCCTTGAGTCAATTCCAACTTATAGTCAACACTGATAGATAGGATTTTTGTGAAACGGCTGGTAAGCTTGAACTGTCAACCTTGTGGTTAGCTATCCAGTGTTTATTCTGCAGTGCCACACCAGGACTCCTTTAAGATATTTAGGTAAAATAATATGGGTAAAGTATTACGTTATTTTCATATTTCTTTGTTGTAACTATTTTCAGTTTATCAGTTAGCTATGAAGACTGATAATGGGGCCAGGGATGAGCGTTCTTCTGAGCAATTTATTACTTTATCCAGTCTTGGAACCTGACACATATAGTCTTCTATCATTTTATTGTTTGCCGTGGCTATGTGTGTCAGTCTGAGTTTGTGGATATGTATGTACACTGGCTAGACTCTTGATGTGGAATAGGATCAGCAATGGACTGGGAATTACAAGGTCAATAGTTCAAACCTACCAGCTGCTCCTTGGAAACCTTGTACAGGGTCACTGTGAGTCAGAACTGACTCGACAGCACTAAACAATACATGTGCACTAGCTAAGAATTCTTTCCTTGGTTTAATTTCACAATTTTTATAAGATTGTTATAGGTTTCCTTTATTTATTTCCTCCAAGTGACTTGGAATATGTCTCTGCTTATTTTAAATATTTTTTTAAAAAATTATTGGTTTTGGTTTTTTTTTTAATAACTAAGTAATAGCTTTTTGATATATTTACCCTTGCAATTATTTGAATTTTCTATATCAAGTGTTCATTCATTTCTTCTTCAGGTCATTAAAACTATTATTCTTTTAATTTATGGTTTTATATTACCTTACAACTTTGTTCTGCATTGCATCTTTTATTGCTGTTAACTCTCTTGCAAGATCATCAGAGGTTTTTCTCTGTTTTTATGATGAAGAGTTTTTTGCCTACATTTAGAAATATGCTGTGTACCTTTTATTATGAGGTTGTTAGTTTTAAAAATCCAGTTCTCAAGTGTGAATATGTCCTTTGGCAGATGTTAAAATCTCACTTGGGATATGCTTGAGAGGTTTTTAAGTTCATTGACCTTTGAAGAGATGTATGTCTTGTATAACTAAACTTCATTTTGAATGCTAAATTCTTAACACGAAGAGATATGATGGGACTTCAAAAGTGCATGTAAAAATCAAATGAAAAATTTCCACGAACTTTTTGAAGCCCCCTCATGTATCTGTATAAAGTAGAATTAGAAATTTAAGTACCACCTGTTTCAGCCAGATATCAGCCTGGGGATAGAAACTATATCAGATATTTTATGGAGAGAATTTAATATAAAATTATTAAATAGGGGTTGAAGCAATGCCTTTGTTAGTATTTTAAATCAGCATTGAAAAATCAGGTACATTTTCATTAGCAGGTGCTTCTAAGGAAGGAGGTGCTGGAGCAGTTGATGAAGATGATTTTATAAAAGCTTTTACAGATGTCCCGTCCATTCAGGTAAGCTGCCCCCAACTCCCCATGCAGATTGCTTGTGTGCCTGTTTATATAATTAGTGAGATTGGCCCAGGATCCGGCAGTGTTTCGTTCTGCTGTGCATAGGTCGCTATGAGTTGATACCAACTCGATGGCACCTAACAACAACAATGTATTTTACTTGACTTCATAAATATTTGGCTTAGTATCTCCAATTTGTTGTTACCATTAGAGTTTTTGAGTGAAATTTTCAGTGAAACTGAAATAAAACATTTAAGGGGCTCCAGAAAGTTCATGTAAAAATGAAAGACGATGGCATTTTTCTATGAATTCTTTGAAGCACCCTTGTATTGTTGAATCACATTATATTAAAATATTCTATTTAAAGTTTAGATTCTTGATATAATGGGTTTGAACCCAGAAACATGTTGAAGGTTAATTGACAATAGAAAATTAGAGGTCATTTGCATAGAAATATTTGACATAGTCAAACTGAGCATATGCATAAATAGACATATAAATATTATCTCTCTGTTTTAAAAATTAATGTGTTATAAATAACATTTCACCTAATAACATTGTTTATACTTTTTGACATTGTAAAATATGTTACTGTTATTAATTCACATTGATTGATAGATTCTAACTTATTGCTATTCCACAACAAGGTTGTTGCCTTGATTATTTGTAGACATTTCTGTACATTGTAAATATAAGAGTATAGTTGTGTGACTATAATTAGATATTACTCTTTAGAATAGTTTTACTAGTTTAAACTCCTACAGAGTATCTTTGCGGTTTTTCTCTGTATTAACTTTTAATGTCTTTGAAAGGAAAATTGTCCTGCAACTGACTTAATGTACTTAGATCTTAAAAAATTGTTGGATAACTTTAGAAACTTTTCTGATTTAAGTGTATTTTGTTATCCCTTTATTGGGATGGACCCTTTATTGGGTCCATCTTTCCTGTTTTAACATATTTACTTTTTAAATAAAAGGAAAACATCGCTTTTGTATTTTGCAGACCTTTTTTACAAGAAAGATTTGTGTTGGAGGAACAACTTAGTAAAACTTACTGACTTTGAACATTTTCTATTGTTTAATGAGTTGGGGTCCTTGTGTGTGTGCTGTAGAATAAGTGCTAGTCTGCTAACCGCAAGGTCCGTGGTTTAAACCCATCAACCACTCCTTGTTGTTGTTGTTGTTAAGTGCTCGCAAGTCAGTTCTGACCCATAACGACCCTATTAGGGTTTCCTGAATCACCAATCTTGTGTTTCAAACTGACTTTGCAGTCCAGTGCATTAACCACAGTGCCATACCAGGACCCCTGGAAACCCTATATAGGGCCGCTATTATTTGGAACCACTCAAAGGCTCTACTTACAATGAGGTGACAGACTTACAGCATCATGGCATCAGTGAAGCTAAGGACTTCTCAATTATGTGAAGTAAGAAAACAGTTTCACAGTTATCCAGTGCTACTTTACAGTTAACCTCCACCACCTTTCCCAGGCATTCACTTGCCAAATGTTGAATATATACCTTCCATTTTGTCTTCTGGAGTACCTGTTTCATAAGCAGCAAGTCCCCTAAATACATAACCTCATTTTTGGAAGATTTATTTAATTAAAACTTGGTATTTTTTAAAGCTCTTTTAAGGGGAGGTTGTTTATTACTCTTGACCCACATGCTTTCAGCAATTAAGAGTGACTTTATTGTTCTTGATCTTTATTGTTCTTGATCTCCTCGTTGCCATTTGGTGAGAATTATTCCAATACCCGTTTTTATGAGAGATCCACACCCTTTTGGGCATCTTCCTTATTGTTGCCAAGTAATGACTTAGAGAGTTTGCCACTATTACCTGAATTTGAATCCTACCTCTATCACACTAGCTGTGCAAACCTTGGCAAGGTCTTTGGTCTCTTCATTTAAAACAGGAATATTAGTACATACTCAGAGGATTTTTGTTCATTTTACTTTAGTTTCCCTATTGTGCAGCATCTTGCGCTCCTGTAGGGAAAATATTTGTTGAGGGAATGAAACAATAATAGCATATATCTGCTTGTTAAATGGCTCCAGAGGAAACAAAGCATGTGGCTGTCCTGGCAACAGTTATCATTACCCTGGAGGAAAGAAAAAGTAGCATAAGACATGTCTTTTAGCAGTGTTCTGTATTAAATGTATAAATACCTGTGCTGTATGACTGAAGTTGTTGTTAGTGCCACAGAGTCAGTTCTTACTCATAGCAACCCTGTATAGTTTTCAATGCTTTAAATATTCGAGGGAGCACAAAGCCTCATCTTTCTCCACAGAGTTGGTTGGTGGGCTCAAACCGCCAACTTTGTGGTTTTGTAGTCCAATGCTTATTATAAAGAGCCACCACATTCCCTTTGAGAAATAAGGCCTAACTTAATGAATTGATTGAATATTTGCGTCTTGTTTTTAAATCACATAGCAATTTAAAAGGCTATTTAAAGTTGTTGTATTGTTGTTAAGTGTCTTCAAGTCGGTTCCAACCCAGAGCAACCCTGTATAGGGTTTCCGAGGAGCTGCTAGTGAGCTTGAACTGCTGACCTTCAGCACCATACGAGGAAATAGCAAAAGAAGTAATAGTTAAGTAATACAGAAACACAAAGTATTTAAAAATTTTGTCTATAATGTATTTTCTCTCTTCACAAAATAATAATAGTGCTAGAATGAGAAATAACCGTATTACTTGAATGCTTATTTTAAAAATCAGGACATAATTTTGGTATTACTTAGCTTGAAAGTATTAAAATTCTGAATCTTTTTCTTAAGATCTATTCTAGCCGAGAACTTGAAGAAACATTAAATAAAATCAGGGAAATTTTATCAGATGACAAACATGACTGGGATCAGCGTGCCAATGCAGTAAGTTAAAAAAAAATTTTTTTTTAGCCCTTCTTTTTCCATTGTTCATTTTTTTAAATATGAAAATTGATTAGTAGTACTATCTGATGTTTGGTTTTTAAATAGTCTGATGTGTAAGATTAAAACATTGAGATAATACTGAACATAAAATTACTAGAAATTTCTGTTTAGGGTCAGTTTTTTAAAAACTAGTAATTTGTTTTTGTTCTTATTGATAATGTACACAGCAGCTTATACCCCAATTCAACAGTTTTTGCCTGTATAATCCAGTGACATTGATTATATTCTTATTGTGCAATCATTCTCACTGCTTTTTTTTGCATTGTTCCTCCTCCATTAGCATAAACTCATTGTCCCCTAAGGTTCCTGTCTAATCTTAGCTTTTGTCTGTTTGATCTTAGGGTCAATTTTAATTCTGGTTTTGCTGATCAGATAGAATCCATTAAACCTACTTGTTAGCTTTTCCAACAAAACTAAAGTTCAAATATATTGGCATTGAATTGATTCCAACTAATAGCAACCCCATTTGTTACAGAGTAGAACTGCTCCATGGCATTTTCTTGGCTGTAATCTTTACGGAAGCAGATGGCCAGGCTTTTCTTCCCCAGTTGTTGCTGGATGGGCTTGAACCACCAACCTTTGGATTAGTTGTTGTTAAGCACCATTAAGTGAGTTCTGACTCATAGTAACCTGATTAGGGATTCCAAGGAGCGACTGCTGGGGTTGAACCACCAAACTTGTGATTAGCAATACAGTGTTTATCCTACAGTGCCACACCAGGGCAAACTGTCAAGCACAAACCATTCCTGCCACCCGGTGACCTAGCCTTTTTGCATGAACTACGGACCAGAATGGAGTCCTGGTGCCAGCCGTTCCGTGAGAAAGATGAGGCTTTCTGCTCCCGTAAAGATTTACAACCTTGGAAACCCTGTACAGGGTCACTATGAGTTGGAACCGACTCCACGGCATGTAACAACAACAACAATGGACCACAATGGAGTGCTGGTGTGATGCTGTAGGATAAACACTGGGTTGCTAACCATAAAGTTTGTGGTTCATACCTATCATCCTTTCCTTGGAAACCCTGTACAGGGTCTTGATGAGTTGGAATCAACTGGACAACAATTAAACCAACAATGATAATGCTGACCAGAATAGTGCAAGGCCTCTCCGTGGGCTTGCATGGTGAATTAGGCTGGGTTTTCTAGAGAAACGAAACCAGTGAAGCTTCTGTATGTATCCATAAAGACGGATATCAAGTAAGTTCTTCACACGGTTGTCGAGGTGGTCAGTCCCCAGTCCTTGGGTTAGATGTCAGGCTGGAGACTTCTGACTCATGTAGCTATAAGGCTGATGAACTAAGATTGACAAGTCAGACCAGTAGGAAGGCAGGAGGGTAAGAAAAGCAAGCTGCTGATGACTCCCAGATTCAACAGGTAAGAGAGTAGACCACTGGTTCAAGTCCAAAGAGCTGAAGGTGAGGATGAGCTAGATGCAAGAACCAGACCCAGAGCTTTGCATACAAGTCCCATATTTTAGAAGCATGCCACATCCCTGAGGAAACTTCCTTTCAGTAGATTAGCTGCTCAGAGTCAACTTCATTATAGAGTTGGTTGCATTACAGTCGATCTAATCATGGGGGATCAACTGCCAAGCCACTGAGAATCCTAGCCCAGTCAATTTGACACAAAACCTGAGCTATCACACATAGTTACTCATCAGGACTGCTGCTTATTCATGTAATAATGATTAGCAGTGAAACCATTCACATTGCCTCTGTGAGCTAAATATTTTCATAGTATTCGCAGAGTATTACATATCTCTCTGAATGTGATGCATATTTCTCATTTATAAAAAGAAAGAAGTCTAGAGACGTTGAATTAAGAATATTTTTACTTAGCCTAAATTCCTCAATGAGAACATATGGTAAGTTTTGAAATAGTATACTTTCACTAACAAAGGACTGGTTTTTTGTTTTTTTTAATGTTTTATTGTGAATTATGTGAGAGTTTACATGGGAGAACATTAGTTTTACATTCATTCTATCATATATCGTCTCATTGCCATGGTTACAATCCCCTCCATGCAGTCCTTCCCCCGTACCCCCCAGGTCTTCAGCACACAGTC